GCATTAACATGAAGGAATGAGTGGAGGAGGGATAGATGGATAGATTAATGAATGGAGAAAAGAGCAAGAAGGAGATGTTACAGTTAGAGCACGCTGAAAGAATGGAAATGGTAATATTAAGTACCAGAGGAAACATTTACAGATGCATTGTTGGTTTTATTACTCCAACAGTGTTTCTCTTCTGGCTTAAGGGGCCAATTTCCCTTGTTGTTTTTCATCCTGTTCTTTTTCCATTTAACTCCATTCTCTCCTGTACTTTTTCCCTCTGCAGCTTCTCACCAGCACAGATCCACATATACAGTGGGTACGGAAAGTATTAAGACCCCCTTAAATTTTTCACTCTGTTATATTGCAGCCATATGCTAAAATCATTCAAGTTCATTTTTTTCCTCATTAATGTACACACAGCACCCCATATTGACAGAAAAACACAGAATTTTTGACATTTTTGCAGATTTATTAAAAAAGAAAAACTGAAATATCACATGGTCATAAGTATTCAGACCCTTTGCTGTGACACTCATATATTTAACTTAGGTGCTGTCCATTTCTTCTGATCATCCCTGAGATGGTTCTACACCTTCATTTGAGTCCAGCTGTGTCTGATTATACTGATTGGATGTGATTAGGAAAGCCACACACCTGTCTATATAAGACCCTACAGCTCACAGTCAGCCCATCCTGATGTAGAGTACTTTGAAAAGTGCACTCATATGTCATCATAAACCACATTATTATGATTTACCATTTAGATTCATTCTGAAGATGTTAGATATTACCAGGCATCTGAGGAAAAGTACAACCGGGTCATGTACAAACAAATGTTTTCTTTTTCACAGATTTGACACCACATAAAAAAGAAGACAGTTAAAAAAAGGGGAAGTGGCAAATTTACTGAATCTCAAAACTCAAAACTGCTTTGTGTGGTCACACAGCTTTCTCCTTCCCATTTTTATTCAACCACCAAACCTACAACTGCTTTTAAGAGAAGCACATTAAATCACATTTTTGACCATCTTTCCCACATTTTCACACCGACTCATCTATCTGGGTGAAACAGACCAAAATGCCACTGAAGCAAAATGACATGTTAAACATGACGACCAACGTTTACCATCCAACCTGACAGCACTGGAGAGGATCTGCAAGGAGGAATGGCAGAGTATCCCCAAATGCAGGTGTGAAAAACTTGTTGCATCATTCCCAAAAAGACTCATGGCTGTATTAGCTCCAAAGGGTGCTTCTACTAAATACTGAGCAAAGGGTCTGAATACTTATGACCATGTGATATTTCAGTTTTTCTTTTTTAATAAATCTGCAAAAATGTCAAACATTCTGTGTTTTTCTGTCAATATGGGGTGCTGTGTGTACATTAATGAGGAAAAAAATGAACTTAAATGATTTTAGCATATGGCTGCAATATAACAAAGAGTGAAAAATTTAAGGGGGTCTGAATACTTTCTGTACCCACTGTAACATGTTTAATTTCTTTACCCATCTTCACATAGTGTATGAACTCTGGACAATAACCTCAGAATCAGCAGGAGATGAGCTGTGTCAGAAGCGTTCTGACCTACTGGAAATACTCCGTTAGGTTTGTGTGAGGGAGCATGCCTGGGTAGAGCATGCATGTGAGCAACTGAGACAAATTCTACTGTATATGTGTCTAATCTTGCACATATTAATTTGTTCTAAACAAACTGCTGCATCAGTATAAAGGTCAGCTCACTATAAATTTCTCTTGAAAGTTAAAACTGCTACACTGTCACTAGTCAATTTGACACCAACACTGCCACTTTGTTCAGTTGCACTGAGCTAAACTGGCAGTGATTTAAATATTGTTGCAGAGATGGACGTTTCATCCAATTCAGCTTTTCTCTAATATATGTAAATATTTGATCCAGAATTTGTGGCATGTACCATTTATCCCTTTGTTCTTTATTGTACAGTACCTACAGCACTTTTCATACTTTATTTTCTCAGTTCCTGTATCTTTCAATGTTGGTTGATTAAAAAAAAAAAAAAACAGAAGTGCTGAATAGTCAGATTTGCAAATCCACTGTATATTAATTGGATTATAATTAAGCTGGTGACTTAAATACTGCAAGGCATTTCTAATTGATTCACTCCCTTATGCATGAAGCTACATAATGACTGTTAGGGCACGGAGTCACAAAAACGTGGACAGGCCACATTGATACAGCTGTGCAAAATCAAGGAATTAATGGTACGCTCTTTTATCCTTTCCAGCCATCTACTATAACTGTCGCCTTGCATAACCGATGATGGAGTGATGTTCGGGATGTTTTCAGGATATTTTTTTTAATCAGGATCGTTAGATGAGTGTTTGCCTATACTGATAAAAGTTGTTTAATGACATTCTGAGTATTATTAGAGCTATACAAGACCATGGGTTGGTCTTTTATAGATGGCTCATTGTCTACACACTGATGCTCACTTACACAGTGCAGCACACTCAAAGCTCTTTCACACTATTTGGCCGTTCACGCACCGGTGTCATCACCGGGAGCAACGCGAGGTTCAGTGTCTTGTTCAAGGACGCTTCGACATGTGGACTAGAAGCCAGGGATCGAGCTACTGACCCTACAGTCAGAGGCAACCCGCTCTACCTCCTGAGCCACAGCTGCTCACATGCATACACACACACACATAGATTTTTAATGGCAAGCCAAGGACCTCAATGCCCTGTGTATCCAAGGCAACCTAAATTTGTCTCAGCAGGTAAGTGGACATCGTCTCGTGCTGAGGAAAAAGTGAGCAA